GCTAAATGCCTCACTCAATTACATACGTCTACAAAAGGAGTTAACACCTCCCACCTGTTTACGGAGTTTAATTGAGCAAATCCAGATCTTACTACGAAATAAAATTAGTACAATGATATGAGTCCTAGAATGAGGGCCGATGACACTTACTGGTTGCCTCGCTTCTGTCAGTGTGCCCCAGGGCAGCTGTGGCTACAGTAGTAGTTCATCACCACCGTGTATGGAGTGAATGAATAATGACATGTAAAGCGTCTTTGAGTGTCCAAAAAAGCGCTATATAAAACCGATGCATTATTATTATTATTATTAAAAGTACCAGGATCGCAGAGAGTGCCAAACAATAGATCTTTTGAGTGTGACACAAACTTAGCGAGAGGAGTTAATTCGGAACATGTAAGTCAATAGGAGCTGGAGACAGGTGGAGCAAAACTTTTTCCACTTCCCTTTAGGGCCTGAGCGGGTTAGTATCACAATCTATGGTTTGGTGCCATTAAACAGCTAAAGAACCAATCAGAAAAAATTGAATAGGTTGGCCTTGAGGCATTGTAACTAAACTGGGAGTAATAATAATAACTAATTCAAGGTTAGGTCGGTCAATAACAACAATGGGTGGGATACTGTATATGATAAAGATTGGACTACGGCCCATGGATAAAAATAGATTAAACCTTTTGAGCAAACAATCCGAAGGTTAAATGCACAGTGGCTACTTCAATGTGTTTTGGAAAGATGTGAAGTCGAGTGAGCGTGGCCCCACCCCTCCACCTGCCCATGTTGTTGAACACACATGCCACAGTCTGAAATAGGAGCTGGTATGTGGTCACAGGAAGACCCCCAAACAGACACTGACATGGAATGTGCTGCCACCAACACAGCTATATTCTGACCGGAAACATTGACACACACAGACCTGGTGCTGTCATGGAGCAAACACATTCCAGCCCACTTACCATCCTACCTGCCCTCACTCCAGGCCTCCTCCTGGAAGCAGCCAATCAGCGGTCAGCGGCGGTTATTTAAAGAGTCGTTCACCTCGTCTTCACTCAGCTTTCAGCTCGTGTGGCAGCCCCCCTCCTCCCCATCACAACCTCAATCCACCTCTTCAGTAGGGGCCCAAGCACAACATCCATAGCCAACATACATGTAGGTCATAGGATAACCACTCAGCACGCTGGCTGAGGGGTTACTCCAACATTTATTTGCAATTCTTAACTTTTTAGTAAGAGGGCAGTGGTCTTTTTACGAAATAGTTAAACCAATGATTTAAGCATCAATTAGGGATGAGCGTGGGCGGGGCTTACTAGTGCTTTCACTCTTCAGAATTTTTTAGATCCTATTCATCCCACAATTTGGAATTTTCAGTGTTGCATCACAAGTTACTGATCAGTAGAAATGAGGAGCACACAGCACAAGATAAATGAACAAAAACTCTATACTAAAATAAAATAAACTCTCTACTTTTAGCATAATAAAGAAGCAAGTGTAACATCTGTGTATTCTAGTGCAAGGAATAAAAGGTTTTATGTTTACATCTGTACATGTTTGCTGCATGAGGCTCTGGGGACAGTGACAGTGACACATGCAGCTCTACATATGGCACATTCGGACATAATTCAGATTATTATTTCACAGATGAGTAAAGTGACAGTGAACACTTATATCAGTAACACACAGTTAAATAATGGCTCCCATTGTTCACGAGTTCATGTTTAAGTTCTAAAACAATTATACATCCAAACATTGGACACAGTGCTCGCAAAGATGGTTCACATATTGGTGCATCTTTTTCAGTGAGCAGTTCTGATCAGTAAACAAGGTATTCACTTTTCACTTGTGTTGTGTTGTATAAGAACAGTTCTGATAAAAACAGCAGTCGTGACTTTTGGATAAATCTCTGAGTTCCACTTTAGTACCTGTCACAGCAGTGGACAGAGATAGATAGATACTTTATCCCCATAGGAGAAATTCAGGTGTCCAGTAGCAGCAAAAATAAAAAAATTAAATTGAGAAGGTCACAGCAGCAGAGATGGAGTAGCCGCTTGGTTTGAACCATTTTCTCTGCTCTGGTCCAAAGTAAAATGCTAAATGCTTCTTTAGCATTTTTCAAAAAGTTAGCATTCCTCCAGTGGATTTTAACCTGATCCGCTTGGTTTGGACCATGTATCCTCTCTGCTCCTGTTTGGACCAGTGCAAAACTATCATCACTGTACTGCAGCAACATCTCAGGTAGAAAAAAGCTAGATTATAAAGCACAAAACAACAACAAGAACTTTGCAAAGTTAAGATAAGAGTTCCTTTATTCGTCCCACAGTGGGGAAATTTCGTACTTGCAGCGCACATACAGGACAGTAGTAAGAGCACACAGGGAGCACACAATATATCCAAAATTCGTAGTAGCTATTCCAAAGTTGTGGAATCACCAACAACAGATCAGAGAATCAAACCGTTTGAACACAGGAAATGCAGTAATGACAATGCGAGAAGGACTGTGGTGATCCAGGACACTTTAACATTCTACATGTATGGACATTTATCAACATTCATGGACTTTGGTCTCGCCCTATGGACCAATACATATGTGTTCTATATTTTTTGTGTCTTAACTGTTGATTCTCAGATCTGTGTGGGTGATTTAAATTATTTTGTTTAGTCTTATGAGATGCCTGCTGTTCTGATTAAGGGCTATAGAATAAATTGAATTTAATGCAAAAAGTGATTAAAAAAATGCGTCAAAATATATTTTAATTTGAACATAAGATGGGACAAAGCAGAATTATCTTGTTTTAAAAAGACACAAGAGATCTCCCTCTGAATGGGAAAATAAAGCAACAGTTATTTAAAGAAGGCTAAACTGCTTTGTCCCATTGGCAAATCTTGTATTAAGACCAAATGTGCTCAAATTAAGATAAAAGTCTCACAATTCAAGCAATTAATACCTCATATTTTGTATGTTTTCTTTCAGTGAACAAACGCATTGAGTGATTGGTCAATAGGGAGCGGGATGACCACTGTTCGTAAATGTTAATAAATGTGCATAAATGTCCCGGGTCGTCACTTTCCTTGGACCCTCCTGCATCAGAGAGGAACCACTCAAACGACTGCTTTTCTTCTGTATGCATTATTGAAGGGGAAACATACCACTGCACACATGTACTTCTTCCTTTTGAGTTCCAGTCCTATATTGTCATGCTGTGGACCACTTGGAGAAGATTACTATATTTCCAATTATAGCTGGCTGCGGTGTTTTTGCCGGGTATGAGACCATGAGTCATTCCATTCAATCGATGCCAGAAGCGGCGAAAACAGTGCGTCTGCATTGTGCTCTGACTGATGGAGCTTAACATATGGCGGCGGAATGTGCCGAGTACTGCAAACGCTGCCGCTCTCTGTAAAAAGACTATTACATAATTCTACAACGGCAGGATTAATCCCAGAGAGGCGCGTCGTGTTCCCGCCTTTAACTTTGTGGAGCAGACTAATAGGTTTGGCTCACGTGACATCACTTTGTTTTGCTGCAGAGTCCAGTCCAGGCTCACGGCTCTCTCTGGCTTTGGTCTGTCTTCAGGGTGATTAAATAGACCCCGTCCGACATCTGAACTCATCCTCAAACCCCAACTGTCTTCCCGAGCTTCCTCCATGTTAACTAATCCATAAACAGAGGATTGTTTTTCCAGTGAAATGACAATATTTACAGTTCAATGCTATTCAATGAATGAGTGTCCTGGATTATTTCCACTGTCCTTAGACCCTTCTCCATGGGCAAGGAACAACTAAACCCAGCAGGAGATAAATAGAAACCTCTGGGAGGCGCAAATCGAGGGAGGGATCAGCTTCAAACTGTGTTACATGTGGCTGTGCCCTGTAAGATTTAGAGCTAAGGCTAAGGTAAGGTAATCGGTATTGTCCCCATAGAGAGACCCATCTCACGTCCAGCATGGAGGGCTGTCACACTCATGTTGGTTTGATAAAAAAGAAATAGCTGGTTGTGGACCTAAAGTAAAAATTTGTTTTTCTTTATTGTAATATGTTTTTTAAATTTAGAATGTTATTTGACAAAATACTTTTTTGGAGATTGTATCTGGGAATTGTTCTGAATAAAAGTTGTTTAAAGCAATATCAAGAGGAGGTGTAGTTGAAGAGTGCCATTCAATACCAGACACAAGCTTGAATAAACAATCATTTACAGTAGACATCTCATACAGAATACAGACTCTGTGTCGTGTGATTGGAAATACAGCCAGTCCCATCTGCAACAGTAATGAAGCCATTGTTGGAGCCTCAATAGAAGTTTAGTTGTTGTGATTATATTTTGATACATTTCTATTTTGTTTGTATTATTATTTGATTGAAATACATTATTTTGTGATTAGATTAGAATTATGATTATTCGGCAATTGATTTAATTTGGTATATTTTGCATCTAATTTAGTTAACCATTTTGTTAATCATTATTGCTTAATTCATTATAAGTTAATCATGGATTTGTTTTGATTTAATATTTATTTTTGTATTTTTTCTCAGTCCTGGACCCAGGCTAGTTAAGTTGCAGGTGTGCCAGGGGAAAGCGTGGAGTGTGGAACGGAGCCACACAGTTTTATGACCTCTCGCTTACTCTCTCTCCTCGTCTTTTATGTCCTTTTCCTTTTCGTCCATTATGTGTTTTTTGTGTGAATACTCAGTAAAGAGATTTTAATTGCATCCACTGTTCCATGGATTTATTCACTCACTTTATACACTATGGATTATGGTTTGAGAGCGTCGACTACACGGCTTCACTGTTTGGACCCTACAGCCATCATGCTGCCAAGATCTCGCTCTAGCTAAACGTTTTCCTCCACTCTTACCATGAGAATAACTTTGACTAAGAATGAAAAAAGCATCTATCTATCTACCATCTAATAACCTCCACATTCCACTTTCCAGAATCAGCTTGATCTGTTATCTGTGTTTGAATCCCAGTATCAGTGAAAATGTTTTGTGTTTTGTGCCTCGTGCTGCAGGTGTGACCATGAGTGTGATCCTGGACCTGTCCTACACCGTGAGCATCTGGATCTCTGCAGCTGTGGCCATCACCTACACTCTGCTGGGAGGACTCTACTCTGTGGCCTACACCGACATCATCCAGCTAGTGCTCATCTTCATCAGCCTGGTGAGACACACACAGAGAGAGAGGAAGACACACACACACACAGAGACACGCTCACACCCAGACAGAGCACAAAACAAGAAGGTTTAGAGAAATAGCGTCAGTGTTTAGTGTCCTCTGTATTCTTGTCCTTTGTAAACGAGCCCACTGGTGCGGAACATACCAGTGACAGCTCTGTGTGTGTCTGTGTGTGTGTGACCGTGGGTTCCCCCTAGTGGCTGTGCGTGCCCTTCTCCATGCTGAGCCCTGCGGTGGTGGACATCAGTCAGACGGCCTACAACTACACCTACCAGAACCCCTGGGTGGGCACTCTGGACGGGGACCGCGCCTGGAGGTGGATCGACAACTTCCTGCTACTGGTACTTTGTTTATGTTTTCAATCACTGTCGATTCATCAACAATAGATCAGAGAATCAAACAGTTTGAACACAGAAAATACCATTTTAACAAACACACTGGAGCCGTTGGTTCTCAGAGAGCGGGATGACTGCTGTCTGGATATTGTATTAAATCAACGCTGTCCTTTGACCTCCTGCGACCAGAAAACACTCAGAAAACTCAGTTGGAAAAAAAGCGAGAAACCTCTTGGAGACCCATAATGAGGGGGAGACCAGTTCAAAGATACAAGCAAAAGAGGCTGGATTCAGGGCTCCCGTCATCACGCCATGAAACAAAAAATGGGACAACGGGTGAATAGTAATAAACAGACTACAGCTGAACGCATAATGATGACAGTTAAAGTAGGAAAGAGAAGAAGATATATGGTGTCTACAAATGTCTCCTCTCCTCACTGATAATCTGTGTTTTTCTTAGTCATAGCAACCGGGCCATGTGCTGAATTAAAGAGGACTGTTTAAAGCCTGGCCTTGAATGTAGAGACTGTGTCTGCTTCCTTGATGTGAGTGGGGAGCTGATTCCACCTTAAAAGAGCTTGGAGCTAAATGCTCTGCCTCCTACTGTGTTTTAGATTTAAAATAATCCCTGTTAGTTTTTATAAACATAAACCAAAGTCAATACGACTTTATATATGATTGTGTTTCCCCGGTATACATCCAAATAGCATGAGAGGCCCAGTGTAAGAAAACCCTACACAGATTATGCCATCGCAGGTTAGAGTCCTGTTTTTATAAACGCAAAAATAAACGCAACACTTTTGTTTTTGCTCCCATTTTCCATAAGATGGACTTAAAGATCTAAAATTAATTCCAGACACACAATGTTACCATTTCTCTAAAACATTGTTCACAAATCTGTCGAAATGTGTATTAGTGAGCACTTCTGCTTTGCTGAGATAATCCATCCCACCTCACAGGTGTGCCACATCACAGAGGCTGATCTGATCAGATCAGCACCTATCTATCTATAGATAGATACTTTACTTTATTTATGATTTTAATGATTCTTTTCTTTTTCTGTTCTGTTGTGTGCTATACAAATAAACTCGCCTTGCTATGTTTTGTCAGGGCTTGGGGAATCTGGGTCTGCAGAACTTCCACCAGAGGACGCTGTCGGCCTCCTCCTCCTCCACAGCTAAGATCACCTGCTTCGCCGCTGCATTCATTGTCCCCACCCTGGGAATCCCCCCCATCCTGCTGGGGGCTGTGGCCGCCTCCACAAGTGAGCCACCCCCTCTTTAGAGCTGATTTAGAGCTGTTTAGAGCTGCTTAAGTGCACAGAAAAACAGCTTTAACACAAAGATAGAGCGGGTCTATGTTTTAACACTAGAAATCCCAGAGCAGTCGTTTTGACGGCTTTAGTGTATTTACTCCACTTATGTAAGTTTTTGGTCTTCATAACTTTGTGACGCTTTCTGTTTCTCTATGAAGTTTACTTCTATGTTTTTATGTTTATGAAATTATCTCGACCCTAGACTGGTTCTAGACTGGTGCTAGTCTAGTCCCAGACTGGTCCTAGACTGGTCCTAGACTGGTCCTAGGCTAGTCCTAGACTGGTCCTAGCCTGGGCATAGACTAGTTCAGAGCAATCTCATCTTGGAACAAGTAGCCATGGCAACACACAGCTCAGTTAGCATTTAGTTTTGCTATATCTCATTTTTATTATCCAATTTTTGCCTGAATTAAAGAGAAAAACCAAATTACTTGTTTAACAAAATGACTGCTCTAGAAGTTTGAGAAGTCCAGGAGTCCTGGTGTTAAGCACAGAGTGATGGCAGAGCACCCTCAGAGGTAAAGGTGAGTGGGACTGAGGTAGTCTCCACTGAAGTGTTGAAGTAGCAGCTTCCTGTCTCCTGCCGTTGAGCCGCTTTGAAGACGAGCTCATGAGTGTCAAGAACTAGAATGAAGACAAAAACACTTTTCACTGTTTGTTTGTTTGTTTACTTATTCATTTCAGGCATTTCACATCAGGCACAAGTCACCTCTTGTCCGTCATAGTTCCCAACCAAATTAATTAAAGCATTGCTAACAAGCATAAGAGGGAAAAAACACTATAATATGAATAAATAAACTCCAGCTCCCTTTCAGGCAACTATTTTGGTTTGTCTTGATCGATGATTACAGATATTAGAAGTAAATCCAAAACCCTCACAGTGTCCCCTCAGTTTGGCTGTTAGCTTTAAATTGAGCCTTATTCTCACTTTTACCAGTCTTTCCCTAATTCATATAATTTGTACCTCCATTACAAATGTGTATAAAATGTGTATAATCTTGTCAAAAAGATACTGTGTTTAAGATAACACGAAAAAACAAATTGGTATCTCGGTGTTAAGACTACTTTTCACATTCAAAAACACGCTAAGGGCAACATGTTTTAAGATTACAGGCAGAAAGAATGCATTGTTTTTGTTCTTTCAAATGAAATATTCTGCAGAAAAGTGGGAAAAATAGACTTCTTCATATCTAGACTTGTGTTATGATCCAATATCACCTGAGAATTGTTTGTCCTTTTTGAAATAACACGGTTTGAGCTGTGAGGTCGAGTCGTCTTGCTGATGTAGTGAAGCGTGAGCTGTGAACGCCGCACAAAACAGGAAGCAGTTGTTTTTGAGGTTATGATTTGTTCAAAGTCATGAATAAGAGAGGAAGTAGTCCCGACTCCCAGCTCATGACAACAGTTTACAGGGCACATGGGCAGAGGCTGGGGGTAGAGCTGGGCACTGGCAAAAAAGTAACAATTTGATAGTATTGCGATATTTGGGCCAGAATTCAATCTTACTGCGATTCTTAACATATTGCGATACAGAAAGTATTGCGATTGGATTCTGCTTTACAAAAATTGAGGAAAATAAGACTGCTCAACTCTTACGTCACATTTCTTGGTCTGCATTTTGACTGAAGTGCAAAAACTTTGGAGGGTAGTGCACAAAATGTAATCCTAGGGATGCATCGATACCACTTTTTTCAAAACCAATACGAGTACAAGTACATTCATTTGATTACTTTCTGATACCGATTTGAGTACTGCATTGTATTATCCTTGGGAATTCATAAAACTAATACAACTGAAGTTTTCTTTTTCATTTCAACAATGAGAAAATGATTTAACAAGTCAACATTTTAACAGTCAACAATAAGAGCCACTGTCATATTCCACTCGAACAAATACTATGTTGTAGAGTTGGTTGTTTTTGTACTCTGATGCTAGCTCCGGTGCTAGCAAAGATGGTTTACTCCGCAGTGGTGAGTGGTGTGTTTGTTTTGGACCCACATTGTGACACTTTTGACTTTCACAACGTACAGTCTGCTTTACTCTTGTCATTCATTTACTTTAAAAGACTGTCATACGGCCGACGCTGCATATATTAAGAGATCACCATGGCAACATGTGCCGCACAACTTTCTGCGATATCGGTCCTATGGTATGAGTACGATTGCGGTGCATCAATACTTAATCCTTTACCGTAACATTCAGGATACAGGACCTTATTACAGAACTTTCTCTTCAATGGTGAGCTCCAACTTAAATGGTTCAAATACAAAAGACGAGAATCACAAAAAGGAGACATGGCAGAGTGAGATAAACCTCAGATGTATATTACCAGAGTAAACTTTGAAACATGAAAGTGAAACAGATATTTATTATACAACACTTTGCTCTTCTGTATTGATTTAAATGCATGAATAAAATATTGTGATTCCCCACCACTGATGTTCCCCAGCCTCTGCCCTCGTGCCCCAGTGACGTGTGTGGAGAAAGTACAGCCTGTTTTTATTGTTTCTGTTTTGGTGTCGTGTTTTCACTTGTCTGTACAGTACGTTGCTAAGCCCAGGCTGCTTTAAATGAAGTTTGCTTGTCCTCCCTGTGAGCTGGACTGATTGTGTTGGTGTTGTGCAGACTGGAACCTGACCTCGTACGGGCCGCTGTCTCCGGTGGAGCGTGGTGAGACGGGCCTCATCCTCCCCATCGTGCTGCAGTACCTCACCCCGTACTACATCTCCATCATCGGCATTGGAGCTGTGGCCGCCGCCGTCATGAGCTCCACGGACTCCGCCCTGCTGTCCGCCGCCTCCATCTTCACCTCCAACATCTACAGGAACATCCTCAGGCCTCAGGTGGGCTCCTCTCTGGGACTCGGACTGATCAGATTCATTTAAGTGGCCATTTGCAGTAAAACCACATTGGAATACATTTGCAAAAGTCCCCAGTGTGCACCAGACAAGTACATGAATAAAGAGTACAGGAATAAAAAAAGATATAAAAGTGAAGGAAACAATCGTCACTGTGAAATATATCTACTAAAACAGTTTCAACACAAGTGCAAGATCCTTAAAGGGCTTTGTTCAGACTAATAACAGCTTGTGCAAAGAAGCTGTTATCGTCAAGAGGTTCTGCTTCTTTGTCAACAATATCTTCTGCCAGAAGGAAGAAGCTGGAACATAGCTTTCCCAGGGGCCAGAAGTCCAGGTCTTCATAAAGAACCTCCAGAACAGGCAGCTCATGATTGTCTTTGCATAGCTAATATGAGAAGGAAATATCATGATAACGATATGATTCTCAATGTAAATAGTGCTGGAAATAATCATCCAAACTTAAAAAAAACACACAAAATAAACTCGAAGCGTTTCCTTCTATCACATACTACTCTAGTTTTATAATGTAACATGTTTAAAAGTCCTGTTTCCATTAGCCCTACTTGACTCAACTCCACTCTAATGTACTCTACTCTACCCTGATAGGGAGTGTTTCCACCGGCCCTGTGTAACCTTGATTCTGGTTCTATCCAGACCGAGATAACAGACAGTGATTGCCCAGAGTGCTGTTGGAATACTGGTTTGGTAGGATACAGCACCCGATACTAAACTGTAAGAGTAAAGTAGAGAATAGTAGAGTAGGGCTGGTGGAAACAGGGCTACAGACTACCAAACTTTCTGGACTATAAGCTGCACCTGTATATAAGCCAGCTACATTTGGATAATAAAGTAAATTTTGTCCTCATAAATGCAGCTCCTAAATATAAGCCACAGATAGATGACTCAATGACAGCTGAACCGTTAGCTTCCATGCCACTAAACCAGTGCTGTATATCTACTAAAAAGTCAGATTCTATGGACTTAATAAAAAATACACATATTAGCCGCATTGCTATAGATGACTTTCAACCACGTGACCAAAACTGATGACGTAATCAGCGTCTGCCATGTTGGTGGGTTACTGATTTGACAAATCATTGGAAGTATACAACTTTTTCGTGTCAGGCTGGGTGAACAAGCTTCAGACAAAGCAACTTTGTGTTGACAAGTCAGTTGTTTTTGCTTGGGTAAGTAATAAAGATAATGTATCAGTAATTTTTGAGTTTAACTTTGTAGTTTAGCGTTTATGACGCCAAGCTCGTCACGTCTTGTATCTACAAATGCTGTTTGCGGATTGTTGTTTTATTCTTTTTTAATCAACCAGCCCCAGCGAGCGCGAGAAACACCATTGAGAACTTGGTTTGTGGTTGAGAATGATTGAAATGTTATATTCGCGCACTGCAGCTGCATGGCTGGCCTTAATGAAGCTAGTTTGTAGGAACATTGTTGTTTGCAGTAGAAGCCGCGGTGCGGAGGGTTCAGTTCCCTGTACCCAGGAGAAGAGCAAGTGGGTCATGCCAACCTAATGTCAAACAAGTGCCCTATATTCCAATTTGCAAGATGGATTTCAAATCTGCAAAAACGTAAACCAAACAAGTCCGGGAAACAATAAAAACTAAATTTGTCCTTTTCACGCTTGCTGTTAGCACAATGAAACACGGCACAATCGTATGGCATTGTTTCAAAGAACTTAAATGACGCTTGAAAGACTCTAAAGCAGTGTTGGGCACGTTACTTTGGAAAAAGTAATTAGTTATAGTTACTAGTTACTTCTCCCAAAAAATAACTGAGTTACTCCACTATAAAAGTAACTAGTTACCAGTAAAAGTAACTATTGCGTTACTTTTTTGTTTTGTTCTGGAACATAATGTGCACTCAACGTGCGCATTTTTACTTTTAACCTCAGTGAGTCTGAAATAGTGCCAATATTTCCATCTTGAAAAGGCTGTTTTGCTGCTTAAGTCCTGTTCACTCTTCATCTCTCTCTGTGCTGTAAGCACTAAAGACCAACACGCTCCACTGTGAATGTGGAAACACCGGTGAAGCACTGACTTCAGCCCAATCAGATGAACATATATATCATATAAATGAAGTGGACAATTTGTTTGGCTACAGATGTTTCATGCCCGCATTGTTTGTTCATACAAAACACAAAACTATGAGTTATGGGTCTTACCTTATAAATGACCTGCACAGACCACTTCAGTTCAGACCAGTTCCGTGTTTAAGTCCAGATAATAGTTTGAGCGTACAATACAATACAATACAATACAATTTATTCTTGTATAGCCCTAGGTCACAACAGAAGTCATCTCAGAGGACTTAACAAAACCATTGAAATCACCAACACAGGTCAGAGAATCAACAGTTAAAACACATGAAGAATATAAAGCACACACAGAAGAACATGTCCATACATGCTGTAGAATGCTAAAGTGTCCTGATCATCACCAATCCTTTCTGTTGGACACTAACTGTCCAACAAGACCCTCCTGCATCGACAAGGAAAAACTCTTAAAAAACCCAGTGGGAAAACGTGAGAAACCTTGGGGAGCACTAGGGAAACCCACAGGGAGGGAGACCCATATGAGAAAGGGATCCGCTCCTCCGGACGGACAGGCTAATGATCTAGGACCTAAGCTAGCTACAGAACGTGGACCAGTGGCCGCTGAACGTGGACAGGTCCGGTGCAGGACCGAAGCACTCCCAGGCGGGTCGGGCGGGGCAGTCCGCAGGTGTAGATGGAAGAGGCCAGGCTCAGAGATCCCGTCATCGTACCATGAAACAGACAATGGGACAACGGGTGAATAGCAATGAACAAACTACAGTCAGAATCCTAAAAATGCTAAACAGATAAAGTAGGAAGGAGGAGAGGATAGTGCTCAAGTTACCATACTTCTCCCAGCAAACTGACTCCATATGCAGCTTGACTGACAGTCTGAGGAGTTTAGCCTTCTCCGAGTCTTACCTTCCTAGCCATATGCTAAACTAAAGAGGACTGTTTTAAACCTAGCCTTGAATAAAGAATAACATACAGCATAATATATAACATAATATACAACATAACACAATACATTATTGAATAATATATAACATAATATATAACATAATACAGCATATATATATAATATATACACTACATATTATATATTACCTAATTATATGCTAAATTAAAGTAAAGTGCTTTAAGCCTGGCCTTGAATGTGGAGACCGTATCTGCTTCCTTAACATAAATGGGAAGCTGATTCCACAGTAAAGGAGCTTGGTAGCTAAATGCTCTGCCACCAACAGTGACCTTTGAGACCTTAGGGACCACCAGACGTCTGGCGTTTTGTGAGCGCAACGCTCGACCTGGTTGATACGACACTAACGTGTCTTGAAGATAAGAGGGAGCGTAGATATGTAGTCCTCCATTTGGAAATGAGTCCAATGAGTTTTAAAAAGTAAAACAAAACGCGTGTGTCCTCCATAAACTCCTCTGTTTTGCTGCAGCCGGCTGCATCCAATTTCTAAAATCAACCGTCTTACACTTCACCTCTCTTTCTTATCATTCCTATAGTCATTGAAAAATTACCCTAAGTGCATTTTAAATTATCTTAAAATGTGTTATATGTATGTTAGCCAAACCTGTTGCTGTCCTTAGCAGATAAACCAGGAAGAGAAAGGAGCTTATCGATGGAATTGTATGCAGCCGACTTCTGCGCTCACATGCGCTCCTCTGAGGCTGGCCTCACGGTAATACAAGCCGTGGTTGAGCGCGATTAAGACCCATATTTGTTTCAAAAACACAATTTATGAGCCATCCTCTCAACTGTAGACATGTAGATTGTAAAGGAAATATGTTTTACATCAGCCAATAATTGCTGAGAGGTTTTGTCATCCTCCCTTCTCACATGACAACACGCGCACGAGTCCTATCACGAAGTAAAAAGAGAAGTTCATTGTGCGTCTTGAGTAACGCGCAGTAACGGGATGTCGGAAATGATAACGGCATTATAGTTACAGTCAAAGTCATTAATTAGATTACTCTTTACTGAAAAAAGTTACGGCGTTAGTAACGTTAGAGCATCACTGCTCTAAAGTGATATTAGAGAGTGTGGCCATATAGCTACAGCAGCGTACTACACCACCAAACTAAGCCTTTTTTGTGACGTCACGTGAAAGTCATCTATATAAGCTGCAGGGTTAGCAGCTAAGTCTGAAAATGTTGGTAGTTGTGCAGAAGGATGTCGCACGGTCGTGGTCTCACCTCTGGCTGCTCTGCCCTCAGGCCTCGGAGCAGGAGATCCAGTGGGTGATCCAGGGCTCGGTGGTGGTGGTGGGTTTGGCCGGGACGTCCCTCACCTTCCTGGACAACAGCGTGCTGATGATCTGGCTGCTGCGCTCCGACCTCACCTACACGCTCATGCTGCCCCAGCTGGTGTGCGTGCTGTTCTTTCAGGTCTCCAACGGTTACGGCGCCGTGCTGGGCTGCGTCATCGGGACGGTCCTGAGGGTGCTGTGTGGGGAACCCGTCCTGGGGATCCCTCCGGTCCTCATGTTCCCAGGTACAGGCGTCGGTCAATTTCAAATCACACTATTTTAGTTTAGTCATTCCACCCAGTGTGTTTGTGTATCGCCCTGAATCACAAAAGCAGTCGTCTTTTCCCAAATTTTAGGAAAGAACCGCCCTCTGCACTTTTTGAAAAATTCTCTGGTCTTATTTGAGGAGCACGTATCATCAGAGTGATTGACAATAAGGAGGACCAATAGTCTTGATGATCCACCCGGACGTAGAAAATCCTCCTATACACATAAGATAAGATAAGAGAAACTGTTTTGATCTCACAGTGGAGATTATGAAAGCAATTTAAAGTATCTGTGTATCATTCTAAACCTCAACAGCAGTTGCCTCAGAGGACTTTTATAAGTTGTCAATTCCTTAGCAACAGATCAGAGAATCAAACACAGGAAATGCAACACAAAGGATCCATAGCGAACGGGAGGAAATGTTTATAACTGCGCTGTAGATCCAGGACTCAGGCTGTAGATCCAGAACTGAGGTTTAACACAGAATTTTCTCATTCTCTTCTGGTTTCTACCCTGGTCTCTCCCCTGGTCTCTCCCCTGGCCTCCAACCTGGCCTTTCCCCTGGCCTCTCCCCTGGTCTCTCCACTGGCCTCTCTCCTGGCCTTTCCCCTGGCCTCTCCCCTGGTCTCTTCCCTGGTCTCTCTAATCGTCTCTCTCCTGGTCTCTCTCCTGGTCTCTCCCCTGGTCTCTCCCCTGGTCTCTCCGCAGGCTGCACCCTGGTGAATGGCGTGTACGAGCAGCGCTCTCCCATCCGCACCATCTGCATGCTGTCGGCCGTGGTCTCCATCCTGCTCTTCTCCTGGGTGTTTGCGCAGCTCTTCGACAGAGGCCTGATCCCCGAGAAATACGACTTCTTCAACGTCAAGCACCCGCAGCCCCAGGGCGTCGCCAAGAAGGACGAGGTTCTGAAGCAGGACGCCGACTGCACGGAAGCCACGCAGCCCATGCTGGAATCTCCGTGTTAGGCTTTGGAGACCGCCGCAAGCCCACGTTCAACGCTTTGTACTCTGAATACCTCTAACATCACAGACTGCTACAGATACAGTGCCCTCATCATATACTGGCAACTGGGGTCCGAGTGCACGCCGGGGCTGGGGCCGGCTCCGTCTTGTGTTCTGTTTCGATATAAAGAAACCACATGGAGACCGAGCTCTCTCCGCATTAAACTAAACTGCATCCCGCGGCCACAGTCTGATTAGATTGAACACGTCACAAAAACAGAAGGTCCAGTCTGGATGAAAATGACTTGAATCCTGGGAATCAATCTACTTTTGTGACTAGAATCGATCATTTTACCAGAACACGATGTATTGATTTGCAGCCGAAATCTCACATAGCAACCACATAGCAATCAAAGGACCGCAAGCAGGGTCTGTCTCTGTTCGAGGATAGAAGTCACCTGACCGGTCATTTATTGGTTTACAAAGACTATATATAAATTAGAAAAACAGGTTCACATAGAGCTATACAACCCAAACAATACAATTAGAGCCCAGAATGTGAGAAGTTCAGAGTAAGAGGAGTTTACTTAAGGTAGTAGGAGCAAAACGTCACCATAAACACTTCTCAGAAGTAAGTAAGTAAGTAAGTCATTATTTATATACCGCCTTTTCACTGCAGAGCTGAGTCTCAAAGCGGTTTACAATTGTTATTATTTTTTTTGGGCACTTGTCTCTCACTCCACACAGAGATGGGAGCGGGGTCGCCAGTACAGGAGGCGCATGCCAGAACTATTTTACATATTTTTAGCGGTAGGGGAAACCGGAGCACCCGGAGGAAACCTACGCAGACACGGGGAGAACATGCAAACTCCACTCAGAAAGGCCCTGGTCCGACCGGGATTCGAACCCAGGACCTTCTTGCTGAGAGGCGAGAGTGCTATCCACTCAGCCACCGTGCCGCCCACGGTCCGTCTCTTATGGCGCTTTTCCACAGCACCGGCACTACACCACTCTACACGACACGTCACGACCCGGTCGAGTACGCGTGCTTTTCCACATATCTCCATCGGACATCTTCAAGTGGGTGGGCTTTTCATACCACCGCTACCGCTACGCCATTTCCGCGCGACTCACGAGCATGAAACCAGGAAAAACATTACATCCTCAAAGTCCTCCATAGATACCACTACAGAGACCGCTAACTTTTAAAAATGGGTTTCAGCACTTGCTCGCATTGCACAAAAATAGTGCTGGTCCCATTCTGTACAATCTGAATGGGACCTTTAGCAACAGCGGCCTGTGTAGCAGAGCATGCATGTCCGAGGATACTGCTAGGCTATAGCTAATGCTAGCGCTAGCTCGAGACTCAGCTCACTCACTAACCCTGGATTCCAAAGCTACTACTATACTACACTTAACACATCTATCACTGCCCTCAGAGGAGGATCCGGGGTTTAAACTCCTCATATGGCAACTCGAGCAGTAAAGGACCGAGGGAGAGACAGCCATAGGGGTAGCGAGTTGGCGGCTAAGCTAGGCTAAGCTAGGCTAGGCTAGTCCGGACTCGGGTCTGGACTACAGCAGACTCCGAGACCAGACAAACAATCGATACCCAAACCTCAGAAACAATTATAATAAATGAATGAAACACAGTCTTGATACAATCACAAATTTATTGAAAACAAAAGTAAAGTGCAAAACCAACAGTTTACAAAGTCAAAAGTACGTATGTGTGAGACCAGATGAGGAGAATAATCCGGTCACTCATTGCTCGTTGGTAATCTCCACACTTATGGGAAGGGATTCTCATACAAATATACACATGACAACTTAAATACAAGCACAAAACAGAATGACAACACATGAATACTGCAGATAATACGAGATAAAGCACAGTAGCACAGGAGGACGTTAGCTTAGCTGCTATCGATAGCTAAATGAAGCTAATTGTAGCTAGCTCACTGTGTACAACAGACAATCAAACATTTACACAGTAAATACATTTCAGTGAGAGCTTTAACGGGATTTGTAGCTAACCAGTTATTTCAGGATTACCACAGACTAGTCACAAATCCAGAGCAATCTCCTGAAAACTGTGTTGAGCCTCGAGCTGCCTTTGAATTCTTTCTTTGGCCTGAAGAGAGGAACGTGTGGACCTCTTCCACCGACCAGGACCAGGACCAGGACTTTTGGGGCTTTCTGTGCAATTCCATTTCTCTGGAGTGAGGAGGACGTAATGTAGCCGAAGCAGAGCCGAGCAGAGCAGCCTGTTTTAAAGATGGCGGTTGAGTTGTTTTTCCCAAAGGGTCAGAGGTCGCGTCCAGTGACGACACTCGATCGTTGACCAATCAGCGTAGGCAGTCCGCTTACGTCACGAGCGTGTAGCTTTTTGGAACCGCTCCAGAGGCGGTCCGAAAATAGAACACAATACCTAGCTTCAACGCTAGTGGAAATGCAAAAGTAACGCGCCGTGTCGTGTAGAGTGGTGTAGTGCCGGTGCTGTGGAAAAGCGCCATTATTTATGGTGTGTGGTCACTAACATGGATGAAATCACTATGTGTGTGACAAACTACCAGAGCAGTGGATTTCATGTCATTTTCAGCCTGACGAGAGATTCCGTTCAGGTCCAGAGCGTAGTCTACAAATGTGGACATTCTCGGAGGCCTCAGTCCCCAGCCCTGGCATGGGGGGTGTTTCAGAAGCGAGGGCAGCTGCAGAGTTGTTTACCCACAACACTACCACACATACTCCTATCAACTGCACCACGATAACGATATGCAACCGCAGGGTCGCTGGTCCGCCTCTCGCAGCAGCCGGAGGGTTGTTGCCCGGGAATTCCACGGATTTGTATCTGTGGATTGTTGCGCCTTAAGTTTCCAAAGCCCAATGGGTTAAACAAAGATGAATGTAGTCAAGAAAATCCAATACATTTTTCATCTGTATTTCCAATTTATGTAGCACTATGTAACTTTGTATTTTAATAATATAATGAGTTAGATGGTGGTATAAAATGGGAAAAACAAGATGGCCTTCTTTTAGAATGTAAGAAATAATAAATGAGAATGGAATTAAATCATACAGTACAGAGCGTATCACAGGGTTTAAAAAAAAACAAAAAAACAAAAACATTAACACTCTGGCAGTATAATAAGCATGGTAAAAAAAATCATAATAGTCTTACGCTCACGGCCAAATTTGTAGAAATCACCACAGGAAAGTTCAGACATTGTTTTTGAAGGGAGTCCTGGCCCCAGAGAGAGGGGAACGACTGCACAGGTTTTTAGTGCTGGAGAAACCCGGAGCAGGATTGTATACTCAGACAGGGCCCTGTTTTGGGATTCAAACCCAGGATCTTCTGGCTGAGAACTGAGTGCTAACCACTCGTCCATCACTGCCCAACAGAGACCCTTCACTTGTGTCAAAAACGCAAAATCCACAAAAAACAAATTTGTATTGTGTACATTTGACAGTTAGCAGAAGTTAGCAAACATGTCTGTCCTCTGTCGTACGCACTTGATTTCTGGTCATTTTAGATCATCTGGAAAAGCCAATATTTTTGCAGCCGCACTCGCTGAGCCGGGAGGAGGTGTACAGTGAACAAGCCATAAGACCTCGTCATAGAACTTTACATTTGTGCTGTTATTATTACTAGCTTTTGTAAGTGTTAGAAATAGAAACTCGGGCCACCGGACATGGTCAAATCAGCTATGACGTGCAGCTTTTTGTTCAAACGCAGCTGCGTGGTTGCACCAAATGAAAATTGCACTAAAATGCTGCCCTGTTTCCAGTGTTCGTTCTTCCTGTGGGAATAATGTCTGTGAGCCTGATTTTTCTGAGTTCAAATCAGTTGAAAAATGGTCCTAATGGCGAGAGTTCTGACTAAAGTTGAATGTACTGTATCTGTCGGCTATTGCAGTTTTTTGGTCAAAGCAGAATGAGTGGAGATTTAATCCAGGCTCTGAAATCATTCGCTGAGCGCCTTACCAGACCATAAACAAACTCAACACATATTTAACAATAACGTAAATATTTCTCTCCCTCACTTACAACAATAAAGAAAAATCTTCAAAATGAACACTGGAATGTTCCAAAGTGCACAGAACTGCTGCTGTAAATTCAGATACGCACATGCTTCTCCTATTGGCCAGCCTCGCTTGCTCTCAGGCGGTCTCAGCCAATCAGGGCGAAGCGCGAACATGACTTGAAGGTGTCCGTGACTGTAGCGCATGGCCCGGCTTATTAGCGGTGTGCAGTGTTAGAATAGTCCACTCAGGTTTTTATACAAGCTTTACCCACTATTTGTACTGAGCTACTGTAGTTACGTTTCCACGCCAAAGGAGCTGCTCAAAATGACAATAATTATGAGTGAATATTTGCAGGAGCGAGTGGCAGCAAGAGAGGAAAAAGTCCTGTCTCCACCAGCCCTACTATTCTCTACTCCACTCTTCACCAACTGGGATTGGTGCAGTACGCTTCCTCTAGAGCCCGCCCCACTCCACTCGTATTGACTCCTTTACTGTCATTTCTTTGCAGTGTGGATAGTCACCTTTAGCGTTTTCAAAATGTTGACGTCATTTTTTAATGTGATTATACATGTATGTACAGTATATTAACAAGTGCATTTTATAAGTATTATTTCAAACTGTGTATTTGCCAGTATATCTTTGGGGCACTGCATGTACAAAAAACAAACAAAACAAAAATCCTTAGTTTCATCAATGACACAAATTATTTGAATTTGTGTTGACTTTTCTATAATGAGAGGAAAATCAAGCATACGCTCTTTGTTTTAAGAGCTCAGTATTTTCTCTGCAATTTTCTGCAGTAGTTCTAAATTCTGCTGATGAGTAGTGCTGTGATTTTGGTATGATTAGTTTTGGGGGTGTTTTTAAGGGGGGGAGTGAGAGGTCCAGGGGGAGGTCCCGACGCCAGGCCGCATGTAGAGCCACGAGAAGCAGAAGGTGTGTGTGTATATGTGTGTGCGTGTGAGTATGTGTCTGTGAGTGTGTGTGTGTGTGTGTGAGTGTGTTTCCCCCTAATCATGATGTGAGAATGTTTACCTTAGAATGTGACCTGCTGTCTCCTGAGGAACAGCCCCATCTGCTGGTGGCAATGGGAGTTACAGCCTTAATCCAGCTGTGTTTGTGTTTTGGGCCTTAGCAATATTCACTTTAATAACTTTTAGAATGTGAGAGAAGCGTGTTTAGGAGAAAAACATCTGTATACCATGAATAACATTTTGCATTTGATCAAAATCC